GAGATGGCTCAGTGGTCTAAAGCACCTACTTAGAACAAGCTTAGCAAAGCACAGGGACCGCGGTTCAATCCCCCAGCACCACATGCCAGCTGGCCACACACACACACACACACACACACACACAATAAATAAATAAAAAAAAAAGAAAAAAAAAAAAAAGAAAAGAAAAAGAAAAACTTTTTTTAAAGAAATGTTTGAATTTAGGCAGATCTCATGCCTACTGGTAACCCTAAGTATCATTTCAGGATGTAGCTAAAATAAAATCTGTCATTTTTTGTTATAAATTTGCAAGTGATTCAGCTTAATAAAGATTATATTTAGCCTATAACAAGTTGCCAAACTTAAGTAATAATGGAGAGGAAGCTCTGGAAAAGATCTATTTAATGTCCTAATTACCTAACTGGAAAAAGGACTAAACTTGGCATGTTTTAAAAAGAGGAATGAGAATATTGAATTCTAACTTCTCCTCCAGAAAAAAAGCCATTAACAAGAATTTTAAATGCATTAACAAGAATACAACTATGTCATAAAAGTACCATAAGTACACCAAGAAAACAGAACAAACCGTGGACTATTAACAGTCAGGTATACCGAAACACAAAACACATGTGTACTTTGGCGTTCCTATTCACCACTTGTTGCCTGGGTTTCAAATCCAAATAAGCATGGTGGTTGCTATAGTGACAAGCCACTTTTGGAACCTACAGCTTAGTAGTACTAGGTACTTCTGAGCTTCATAACGCCAGCACGTCCTCCTACACTTTGAATCATAGCTCAGACTTTATAATTTTGTAAAATGTAATTTTATTCTGTCCCCGTAAGTCAATTTTGTTATTTTAGCAGACGAAGTAATTGTCAAAAGAAATAATCTACTTCACCCACTATGCTAAATACTCAATAATCATTTAGTTAATGAATATTAAAGAGGCTGGTTTGATAAGACAAATTTTGTAGTCACCCTTGGAATTTGTTTATAATTGGGAGAGAACATTAATGTCTTTGCTCATTTTAATAGTATCTCTATCATCTTTCACTAAGAAAATAAAAATTCAAACGTAACATTAAAAAGCTGAATTAGCTGCCATGATGGCACATCCCTGTAATTCCAGTACCCAGGAAACAAAGACAGGATTGCCACAAGTTTGAGGCCATCCTGGGCTACACTGAGAGTTGTAAGGGCAACCTGGACTACAAAGCCAGACCTTATCTGGGGTAAAAAATTATTTTAAGGAAGACTGATGTATTTTATTTTCTTTACAAACTATTCCAAATAATTAAAGGTTATTAATGACGTCCAAGAAGGTAGCTTCTTAACTGTTAAATGCTACATTGTAGGTGAAATTCAAAAACATGCTTGATGAAAGCAGACTGCAAGATAGACTGCAAAAAGAAATCACATATTTACAATTTATTTTGAATTGTCCAGAAAAGGCAAATTTATAGTCAGCAAGTATATTCACAGTTGACAGGAAGTACTGGGGGGGGCATAAAGAATTTAGCTGTAGAGAAACATAAAGAATCTTATTTATCAAAGGGTGAAAATGTTTTAGAAGTAATTTTCAATGATAGATACAATCTTTGATAAAATTACTTAAAGTGGCCAGATACCAAGGGGCAAGCCTCTAATCCCAGTTTCCCTGGAGGCTGGCACAGGACAAGTTCCAGCCCAGACAAGTCTGCAAGATCCCATCTCAAAGAACGAAAGGATCTGGGGATTCCTGTGAATTGCAGGGCACTGTTGGTTTAATCCCAGTATCACACACAGGGTGAGGGAGTAAGACAGAAAAAGAAATTGCTAAAGAAAAGATGATCCAACTTACACTTGAAATGGGTGAATTTTTTTTTGTAAAATAGCTTTTTTTTTTTTTTTTTTTTTTTTAGAGCAGAAGAAAAGAGCTGCAGGGATCCCTGCCAAAATTCTGCTTGTATAGATGGAAAAAGTAGAGGCCAGTGAGGTTAAGCAACTTATTTAATGACCACTCAGCAAATCACACCAAAACCAAAAAGGTAGTCATGGTGGCGCACACCTCTAAGTCCAGCACACAGAAGGCTGAAGCAAGAACAGTGCTGCAAATTCAAGGTCAGCCTGTCTCAAAAAAATAAAAAAAATAAAAAAACTCAGAAAAGATAAAAATCTAGTCTCACTCTCCCACTCATTCTACTCACATATTTAGAAGAGGAAAAGCTGGAGAAATTCATTTGTCACAGTCTGAGTCCATATAATTAATTCAACATGGGTAATAAAATGAACTAAGTATTTTTTTTGTCTTTCCAAAAGGAGCTGTATTTCAGGGTAACTAAATGTTCCTAGCTGATGAAAGAAAGTTTCTACTCTACAGAAGAATGTAAACTAATAAATTTAAATGGAATAAAAGAACAAGAAATTATCACTTTACAATCCTTAATAAAATTTGAGCAAGAACCATGAATTCCTGTCAAACCCATTAAGTGAATGGTTGATGGGAGAGATGGGTACTTGTAGGAAACAAAAATAGCATTTCATGGAAAAAAAAAGATATTGTAATTTGATGTAAGTTATTCAACATTATCTACCATAAAATCTTATCTAAAAATCTTTTAACTTTAACCTAATTGATTCATGAATATTTATTTGCACATTTATAAGAAATGTGGGGCCAGAGATATAACTCAGTAGTGCAGAACCTGCCTGGCAAGCACAAGGTCCTAAATTTGATTCCAGATACCTAAAAAAAATACCAGGACTAGCAGCATAAGCTGAACACCAACAGGAAAGCAGTCAGAAAATTAGATATTGTACAGGGCAATTGGTCTGGTCCTTTTGGAAAATCCAAATGTAAAATGGAAATCATGAAAGTGGTAACCATTAGGAATTAAAAGATGAACAATGAATAGTGTCACACAACTGTAATCCCAGCACTTGGGAGGCTGAGGCAGGAGGATCGCCATGAGTGTTTTGAGGCCAGTTTTGCAGGGTGGGGAGTATCACACAGGATCTCACGATATCATTCAGGCTGGCTTGCCTTAGCTACTGAGTTTTGGGATTATAGGCACGTGCCACCATGGCTGGGTTTAAAAGATTAATCTTAAAATTAATGTTGATACAACCAAATACAAATGCGGTACTTAATTGGATCCTGGTCCAGACAAATTAGCTATAGAAAGTATCTGAGAAAGTAGTATAAATTTTAATGTGAAATGTAAAAGAAGATCAAAAAAAGTATTTTGTTAAGTGTGACTTTCTTTTTTGCTGCACAGGGATACGTTTTACACAGTTGCACACTTAAGTAACAAGATGGCTGGGAATCACTCAACCCAGCTCTTCCTCTCCTGGGTATCTTTCTAAATGAACAGCAATCATACCACACTGATGTATGTGCACCCATGTTTACAGCAGTACAATCTGTCGTAGCTAAATCTTAGAAACAACCCAAATGCCCATCAACTGATGAATGGATAAAATAACATGAGGTATTTTTATGTAATGGAGTACTATTCAGCTATAAAGAAAAAGTGAAGCTTGTATAGGTAAATGGATGCAACTAGAAGCCATACTTTTTAAGTGAAGTAAATCAGACCCACATGTGCAAACATAGTATTGTCTTGATAGTGCTGAGAACCTTAGAGTTAATAAAATCTGAAAGGTACAATAGATACTGTGAAATTCATGTATGTAATAAGGATGGCTTGGATAATTGTGCTGCTGGTTTCTGCTGGTGTAACAGAGGGGAGCAGTAGATGCTTAGTTTTTTTTCTTGTCCTTTTTAATTTCTTGTAATTAAATTTTCTATTTTCTTTTTTACCAATTTTGCATGCTTATTTCTGGCAACCTAAACAACTAATTTGAAGACAACATGATGAAATACAGCAACTATATACTGTCAAATTACTACTATCTTTTTTGGTGATGTCCTGTATCATTTCCAATGTTTTTTGTTCTATTTTGTATTCTCTTTAGATAATAATAATAGAAAGGAAAGGAAGCAGGCAGGCAGGCAGGCAGGCAGGCGGGCTGGACATGATGGCACTCTCCTAAAACTCCAGCACTGGGAAGGCCAAGGCAAGAGGATCAGGAGCAGCACATGGAGTTCAAGGCCAGCCAGCACTACAAAGCAAAATCTTGTCTTAAAACACCCCAAAACAAACAAAACATTTGAATGAGTGTCAGAAATTAAAATCCAAGGCTCAACTTCCTAATTCACTGCTGTTACCACTGAACGGTGATTAAGTACTAACAAGAAGTATTTAGATGGAAATGTTGCAGATAAGCCTTCAGAGAAACACCTTAAGTTCACTGGGGTGCAGTCACGGGACACTTTTGTTTGCCTAGTTAGGCAGCGAGGGCGCGGGTGGGAACCCCGAGCTAACCCCGCATTGTGCCAACCTGGGGGCAGGCGCGAGGTACGCAACCCACGATGATGCGTAACACGAGCTGTGCCCTTTCGGGCTGAGAGCACTGAGTCACTCTGTGGATGTTTACAAGAGAACGACACTGCTCCAGAATCCTAGTTAAAGTTTTGAAGGGTCAGCCTCCCTAAAACAATCCTCAATTATTACAAAAAAACTCTTCGTCTTTTTTGACTTCACTGAGGATCCCCAGTTCTCCACTTACTTGAATGGTGCTGTGGAAGCTAAGGGACAAGATTTCGAAAATTCTTCTCCAGCTAGCAAGGCTACCTTCAAATCTCGCCTGGAGGACTGTGAGCTCCTCCTTAAGCCCGGGGAGTCGCTCGTACTCGGCCACATGCCGTCCCCTCTGCACCCGAGAGGCGGCGCCATCTTCATTCCTTCCTCGCCTCGCCGGGAGGCGCTGCGCCCCCTCTCCGCCCTGGCGCGCATGCGCAGGGCTTCCGGGCCAGTCCGCGACTCCACCCTAGGGCGCAATCTCAGCCATCCTGACACTGTGGGCAGATGGTACGGCTGATAAAGACCCTGCATACCGGCACTGACTAATAGCCCTCAAGCCAGCCACTGAGAAACGTGTGAACAGAAGCAGAGACACCTCTCACTCAGATTCCAGCACTTCCACAGGCCACGAGCCCAAAGATCTGAGTGCAAAGGCGGCCCACTGCGGGCATGCGCACTCCCACCCCCGCAGCACGCCGCTGGCCAGAGTGCGTCAGGGATCACGTGCCGCGTCTCTCTTTCCTCCCGGCAACCAGGCGCTCCCCTGTTCCGGAAGTCGCGCAAGTCCGCGTTGGGCCCCGCCCACTATCGGTGACGTTACACTCAGCGCCTACCACTGCCCAGCCTCCGCCGCCGGGTTCGGGGAGATTGGCGGTTTCCTTTCTATAAACGCTGTAGCTTCCGTACTCCTAGACGGTACAGACTAGGCGTTTAGAGTTAGAAACGGGGTAGCCTCTGGAAGCGTGTGAGTAAAGTGTGCAAGGCCAGCGGCTGGCGAGCTGCAAACCACCGCCGCAGAGGCCTCTCCCCCTCTCCGCAACTTGCGCTCCACTTGGTTCCGCCGAGACCCACGACGGTTCCGCCCCCTTCTTCCTTGTCATTGATGTTGTTGTTCTTGTCAGTGCCGCAGCCCCGACCGCCGGGAGTTCGAACCCGAGCCGGGGCCGCCCGGGTGGCGCGGTGGCGGCGGCAGCTGCGACGGCTGCGGGGGCTGCTCCGGGGACTGCGGGGGCGGCCGGGGACCGGCGGCCGGCGGCGGGGCCGGATGGCTCTGTGCGGGCAGGCGGCGGGCGCCGCGTCGCTGCCCAGCGAGCTGATCGTGCATATCTTCTCCTTCCTGCCCGCGCCCGACCGGCTGCGGGCCTCGGCCTCCTGCTCGCACTGGCGCGAGTGCCTGTTCTACCCGGCTCTGTGGCCCCAGCTCCGCATCTGCCTCCGCGTCTCGCCCGCGGAGCAGCCTCGGCTCGAGTTCCTCATGCGCAAGTGCGGCTGGTTCGTACGAGAGTTGCGCGTTGAGTTCGCCGCCGAAAATTACCTGAGCGGAGGCGGCGGCCCGGGCGACGGAGGCGGTGCGGACGCGGGGACCGGCGGAGAAGAGGTCGAGGCCCTGCAGCTGTCCTCCCGCTGGCTGGAAGTGCTGCGCACCTACTTAGAGCTGGTGCTCTGCGTGCTGGTCAGCATCCGGAACAACAGGTAGGCTGGCTGGGCCCCGCCCGGACGGGGCGCCCTACCTCCCCTCGCCCGAAATAGATTCCGTGGGACGCGCGGGCCGCTTCGGCGACTGGGGCGTCGGTTCGAACCGGGAGATTTCCTTGAGGCAGAAGGAGATAGCGGGACTCGTCGGCGCACTTCAGGACAGCCGGGACTCGGGGTTTGTCAGGCGCCGCTCCTGGCGCCTTCCAGCCTCTGTGTGCCCGGTCCTCCTCTCGGTGGCCGTGGGGCGACGCTGATCTATTCGCGGGAGAGTTGAGGGTTGGAGAGCGTGGCCTGGGGGCAGTCCGACATAGCCTGTGTTTTCTGACCCCGCATCTGACCCTGCACCTGACCCTCAGGAGTAGATGCTGCGTGGTGGGGGGAGAAGCTGGTGTGCTCCTGGCGTCCCGCAGGTACAAGAGTCTAGCCGAAATAAATCTTTCACAGTCATTCTCCTGAAGAGTGTTTCGGTACTCTTTTGGGCCAGGCCCAGAGAGTAGGAAGAGTGTTTGTTAGAGGTATTGGGGGAAGAGGTTGATGGTCAGGTTGGAAGTTTCTCCCCGAGCACCTCCAGACTGGACTTCTCCGCTGTGATTTAACTAATACAGGAGGATGGGGGTGAGGGAGCTGCCCACAGAGATAAACGTATTCTGGTCGTGGTTTTGCAATGGAGCTAACTTTCCATGTTCTGATTTAGTATCCTAATCAACATCTTATTTCTCTTGGTGTTTTTTTGTTTTGTTTTGTTTTGTTTTTTTGTTTTTTTTGTGGGTTTTTTTGGTACAGGGGATTGAACTCAGGACCTTGGCACTTGCCACGCAGGCACTTACGCCTCTGAGCTATCTCTCCGGCCTGTCACCCTCTTAAAATTCTATTAATTTATATTTTTCATATCTGAATATTCTAACATTATAATGAAACTCATAAGTTGGAAGGAAAGTTAAAAAATGAAAAAAAAAAAAATAGAGACCCTTACATACTATTATGGCTAACCATTTATAAGTATTTTCACATTCATCTTTCTTTTCTAGTCAAATTTTATTGGTACATTTTAGACGTACATAATCATATTCCTCGTAGAGAACTTGTACCTATATGTGATATAACTTTTTCTCTTTTCTCCATTCTCCTACCCTCCCTTCAGTGCGTCTTCCCTCCCCATTTACAAATGCTTTGTTTCCATATTTTTCCTTTTCTCTTTCTCTTTTTTTTTTTTTTACTGTTCATTTCCCCCTCCTTTGTTCCCCTCCCCTTTTGAATATTTGCTTCCTATTCACATTCATTTCATACTTGGGCCTCTCAAGAACCCTGTGAGTCTGTCAGAGCAGTGGTTACCCCATTTTGTAGGTAGAAGACTGATGTTTAAGAAGGTCAAGTGATATCTGTATCTCCATAATTCTTTGTCTGAATCACAAGGTCAAGAGATAAGCATTGTGGCCCCAAGTTGTATTTGGAACATGGCCCCTTTGTGGCTCTTTCCTCAGCTTTTCACACAGCCACTCTGTCAAGTTGTAGACAATTTCTAACTGTCCAGTTTATGGCTGGTGGATCAGCTGCCCTACAAGCAGGAAAGATTGAGTCAGGGAGAGCATTTACTGGTGAGATTAAGACAGGTTGTGAAGTCCTTGAGCTTCAGTTAGATTTTTTGTCCTGAAATCATGTGACCCTTCTGTACAATCCTCCATAAAACTGTCTGCCTCTGGTCCAAGTAAAAATAAACCTTCATTTTATTTTAATAACCATTTAGGTATTTATTTAGGTATTTTAATAACCATCTGGATGGATGGATGCATGCATGGATGGATAGATGACACCATGTACGCCTAACAGTGGTGTAGCATATCTTCCTTTAAGTCTCCCCTCCATATCTTCAACCTTGCGCCTTGTATTAGCATGCCAGGCCACCTGTCTGTAAGACTACCTTCAGCCTGGCTTTCTGAGTCAGTTAACTTCTATACAAATACAGTATTGTCACCCTGACTTGGAGGTTTTCATCTGCCATAGAGATGGAGCTGCATGTTGTGCTGCCAACACATATTGTATGCCTGAAGTTACAGTGTAGCATAATTATGGGTGTTATTTGTACTGACATATTTCCAGTTGTTTTTAAAAAATGGTTGTGTGTTTGAAAATAAGTGAACTTCGCCTTAATTTTTAAAAATGTCTTTAGATACACTGATAAAACCTGAAATATTAATAAAGATGTTAAAAATATACGTGACTAGTTTCCTTTATGTTTTAGCAAATTTGAAAATGTATTAACCAAGTTATTTGTTCAGTAACTCTGGTTAAGCCTAGTGGGTTTTGTTTTTTGTTTTTTTTCTGTAATCACAAACTGCAAATTGTAGGCTTAAAGACCAGAAACAAGTTATGACTTCATTTGTAGATTTTTGGTTTTTCTCCTAGACAGTGAATATTTGACATTTTCTTTTTATATTTTAGTAGGTTTGCTTTATGAGTTCTGTCCCTTTATAAGTAGTAGAAAACATCATTTCATAAACATTTTGTTTCAGAGTGTTGTGCTAAGTTGCTTTCATAAAGTTCATATGATTTAGACCCTTAGTTTATTTGTTATTTTTCTGTTCCTTAGGAAAAGAACTAAAACCATAACCTTGAATTGAGGAACCTTTCAGAGGTGCTGAGGATAACTGGCATCTTATTGCGCCTGATTCCTGGGTTGCGTGTGCATACGCACTGCAGAGTGATAGTGATGATCAGCATACTGCCATTTTAGGGGTTAGGAACACAGAGGCTACCCAAAGAGGTCTGCAGCTGCCTCTGAGAAAGGAAACACAGCCCTTCAGGTTATAGAAATCTTCTCTACAGGGTGACAGGTTTTATATATATATATATATATATATATATATATATATTCTTGATAAATTGTGAAGAACAGAAAAACAGTATGTATGCAGTCTGTTGCATTATGGTTTAAATAGACTGAATTTTTCTTTTTGCAGTTCTACACAAAAATTGTACCACATTCCAAGCAACAAACTCAGAAATGCATTTATAGCTTTTAACCTGGTTGACAAATTGGTTGCTAACTATTGAAATACTACCTTGCTGCCAGGCGTGGTGGTGCACACCTATAATGTCAGCTCTCCAGGGGGCTAAGGCAGGAAGATCACTGCAAGTTCTAAGCCAGTCTGAACTACATTATGAGACTCTGTCTCTAAAAGAAAAGAAATACATTTCAGGCTTCTTAGGAAGAATGAGAATTTGTTATCAATAAGATTTATGAAAATATACAAAAGACTTACTAGCTAGAGGCATACCTGTAATCCCTGCTACTCTGGAGACTGAGGCAGAGGATAGCAAATTCAAGGCCAGTCTGGGCAGCTCAGGTGAGATTCTGTCTAAAAAAAAAGAAAGAAAGAAAGAAAGAAAAGAAAAGGGCTACAGTGTAGCCCAGGGTGAGAGGCCTGGATTCAGCCCCCAGTGGGGAAGCGGGATCCTTCACAAGTAGCCATGGGCACACTGTCACTAGAGCTATCACTGGTGATGGACTGTATGATTATTTCACAAAAGCTTTTCTTGAATGAAATACTTAGTTGGGATTAATACTTACTGTAAGAAGCCAGAGAAATTGTATATGACATTGGTTTGTTGATTTTCTTCCTAAAATTCTAGGTTATAGCACTTATTCCATGTATGTGGATTGACCATTTTCATGACTGAGCCTACTTCTGTACCTTCTGTGCCAGCTTTCTGTTACTCTAAACAAATACCTGAGGTAATCAGTTTGTGAAGAGAAAAAGGGTTCATTTTGGCTCCCAGTTTGTAGGTTTTAGTGTGCAGTTGGCCCCCTTTCTTTTGTGTAGTGAGGCAATAAATTACTTTGGGAAGTGTGTGGTGGAGCACAAACTACTCCTCTTATCCAGAATGTGAAGGAGAGTGACAGAGGAGGAAGCCAGTGTCATACCGCCCCTTGGAGAGCACTCCCGCATGACCTAGAGCCTCTCACTGGGCACAGTGTCAAGGCCTGTACACCAACCTGCATGTAACACATGGGCCTTTGGGGAGGACAGACCGGCCTGTACTATAGTGCCCTCTTAGAGTGTAGGGTCCATTTAAGCCTTAGATTTGGTTTGGTTTTGTTTTGTTTCCCCATAAAACAATATAACATTTTTTACTCCAATTTTATTAGATTAATGTAAGAATGTAAATCACAAGAACAAATAATTTTTTTATCTTAAGTGATTATATATGTAATCATGTTTGTGTAGATTTGGTTTTATAGATTTGGCGTACAGTGAAGCAGAGTCGGCTTTGTTTTGTTTCCTCAACATCAGTCTACCAAGATATATACTTAAATCCTCTTAAAAATATATCTTAAAATAAGTTAAAAATCCTTTGGCATTCTTAGTTCTATATAACAGTGATAGCAAACCTTTCTGAGAAGTGCCCAAACAGCAACCCCAAACCCACTTACTTATCACCCAATGCCAACAAATACTGAGGTATATTGGCTTAGAAAAAACAACTTGTACAGCAACATGTTTTATCTTAAAAACAACACGCGGGCCTGCCAGATTGCGCAGCAGGCGCAGCTACTGGGGTTCCATCCCCAGCATGCCTTTCTGCCCCCCCTCCCCCAGCGCGCTGAGATGGTGACTGAGACTGGGCATGGTGTCTGCGCCTGTAATCCCAGCACTTGGGAGGCTGAAAACAGGAGGATCACTATGAGTCCAGTCTGTGTAGTGTGACCCTGTAGATGCTATACTAAATACATAAAAAAAAAACAATAACGCATCCCATAGGTTCACCATCACTGCAATATAAGATGGTAGGAAATGCCTAGATGATTTTATCTCCAATTACTTGAAGGCCTATTTTTCTTGAAATATTTTTCCCATCAGAGGTAACGAATACTGTACTACGTAAGAGCATTTCACTTTCGTAGCTTGATTTATTATATAAGCACGTTGTGATTCTTACTAGTCTGCTGTGCCCAAGTTGTAGATTCAGTAGGGCAGAGAGGTGCAGCTGTGCATCCT